TTGGGCTTCCAGATGATGCTGGTGTCCCTGGATGAATGCTACTGCATCCTAGGTCTGGGACCTGCGTAAGTTGGAGTGGGTGGGTCTGGGCCACTGGACTTGACCTCCCACAGTAGTCTGCTGGTAGGAAGGGGTGGTCCTGCACCAAGGGCTAGGCTCTGGCAGTATCTGATCCACAGGGGAGGCCTACTGAAATCTTGAATCCTGCGTGGGCTATTGTATATTTAGCTAAATTTTGGTTGAAATATTATTTAGTCAAATTTATCAATCTTGAAAATGCCCTCTACGTTTTTAAGGCAAATTCCCCTGAGGTTTCTTGTATGATATCTAAAGTATTGACTTTTTAAACAATAAATTATTTTGAAATAAATTTAGGTTTGCAGAAAAGTTGCAAATATGGTACAGAGAGTTCTCACATATTCTTTACCCATACTCTCTTATGTCACACAGTACTGTTTTCAGTACAAAGAATTAACATCTGTGCATCGTCATTAGCTAAACTTTCACATTTACTAAATTTTCCCACTAATGCCTTGTTTCTTGTTGTTGTTCCAGGATGCCACTTAAGACAACACATTGCATTTCATCATCATGTCTCCTCAAGTTTCTTCAATCTGACCACTCATTAATTTCTCCTGGGTTGGGGCTGGGGTTGTGGCTTGGTGCCAGAGCACTTGCCTAGCACATGTGAGGCACTGGGTTCAATTCTCAGTACCACATAAATAAATTTTTAAAAAGTATTGTATCCATCTACAATTAAAAATAAAAATTTAAAAATTTCTCCTTGTTGTTTTTAATCTAACCCTTTGAAAAATATTGGTCAGGTTGTTTGCAAAATGTCACTCAAATTATTCTCAAGATAGACTGAGGTTTGCAGAGGAATTTCGATTTTTTGGAAGAATGTCACTGAGATAATATACCATCTTCATCCAATTACATCAGGGGAGCATGATACAAAAAGACATGCTAGGTGTGGTGGCCCATGCCTGTAATCCCAATGGCTCAGAAGCTGAAGAAGGAGGTTCACAAGTT